TTTTTGAACTCGTAGTTGTTCTCTTCACTGTACATTTTACATTTATATATTCAGTTTAATATTTAATATTCCATCTGTCACAAACTTTATGTATATTTATTACATGGCTTAGTTGAATACTCGATTCTGATTGGTCAATTCAGAACACGTGACACGTTGTTAATCCAGAACAGACAGACAGGATTTATTGACCGTTGTTAAGGATGCTAACATCTGCAGAAAGAAGTCCGCTCGATTGAACTGTAAACTTTTCAAACTGGAACAAGAAAGCAGCGGAGAAGTAACGGGGCAGAAACCCTCCTTTTTACGCAGCGGTCCAGACATAGACATCACACGGCAACACATATTCAGTGTGCAGTTCCTTTGGCATCAGGGCAGGGATATCTAGATACTCTCCAAGGTTTGACATCATGCATCGTGCTACTTTTAAAGCAAGCAGCAATGTTTTAAAATCTGTAATCAAAGAGGTCCTCAAAAACGCTATGGAAGCAGTTCCTGCCGTTGCTACGTTAGTTCAAACGGTAACAACGGACTATTTTTCTTAGCGGATGCATGTCAATTTAAATAAATAAAACAATTTTTTTTAAATCTATAAAAGCATTTCAATTAAAGCTGGGGTGGGTAATTCACTTCAGAGACACTTGTTGTTATATCCCATGGAATGCTCTTAACATCCTGATAGCAATGAATATCTGAAATGCTTTGACAATAAATCCATAAAATCATTTCATCTGTGGAAGCTGTGGCGCTGTGAAAAGCACGACCAATCATCTGAGCCGGCTAAAGTAACTGGATGGCCTACCTGCCTGTCAGCCTTCCATCTGTGCACAAACTGATCTCGTGCCCTCATTGGTCATGTGCGCGTTCGTGTGTGTTGGAGGAGGGGCTCTGTGAGGAAGTCTGAAGGAAGGGGCTGATTTTTTTCGGCTGTGTACTTTCAGATTCTAGCGCACTGGAGCTGGTTTCTCCATTCTTACCTACCTTTAATATTGGGAGTCACGTCGTTACTTTGTTCAGAATGTGGCCTTGCAATAAGCGGGATAATGTGCAGCGAGGCGGTCATTCTGGGTAAAATGGTAAATGGTACTTATATAGCGCTTTATCCAGTCCTTAAGACCTCTCAAAGCGCTTTACATGCTACATGTCATTCACCTATTCATACAGAGCAGTGTACCTTACTCTAGGAACTAACATTCACACACATTCACACACCGTTGGCCATCGGGAGCAACTCAGGGTTAAGTATCCAAGGATACATCGACATGTTGGCTGCACGGACTGGGATCTAACCCACAACCTTCTGGTTGAAAGACGACCGCGTAGCCCCGACAGGCAGACCAGGAGCCCGACGCGAGGCGGAGGGATCTTGATCTGCATGAAGCGTCGCTGCACATTATCCCTTACATAATGCCTCGCTTTATATCTTGTTATCTTTCATTTGTAAATTCAACACGTTTATTTTCTACTTTCTTGTTTATTTATTTTTTCTTTCTTTTTGTATTGAACAATGCCATGTCTTTTTCTGCTGCTAAAACGCAAACATTTCCCAAATTTGGATCAATAAAGTTCTTATCTTATGAAACAACATCCATAACATTCCTCTGGCTGCTGCTTAGAAATGATTGATCTAATATATCATATTCCGATAACTTGCATATAGACTCATATTGCACTATTTCACATTTTACTATTTTCTTTTTGCATTTACTTGCACTATTTTGTTCTGTTTGTCTGTGTTATTGTGTGGCTCTGTTGGAGGAGCATGTGACCTCAGATGTTCATCGACGTAACTACACTGTAGCTATGTTCGTATGAGCAATAAAAGCCTTGCACCTTGATCTAATAAATGCTTCCTCTCACCCAGGTGTCCTTTCTCCATCAGAGGCTCCACGTTATAAATCCTGACCCCCGTCTCCATCGCACAGCAGAAACAGCCTGTGAGCAAAGAAGAGAGGGGTGTAATTCAACTTGGGAAATTAACTTATGCACTTGATGTCCTACATGTTCCTAAGTTGTTCTAGGTGTTGTGTGTCAACATCTGAATGTATAAAGTAACTAGTAAATACATCTGTCAAATAAATATAGTTATAAGTTAGATTAGATAGATAGAAACTATAGCGTTCAGGCATCACAATAATTCAAAGGTGGAGTAGAAGTATAAAGTAGTATGCAATTAAAATACTCGAGTACAAGTACCTCAGATGTTTACTAGTACTTAGTTAGTTTCCAACAATGCTTATTTTACATCTATTCAGCTAGCTGGTTATACTTTAATATGTCTGCTGGAGTAACATTTTAAATGCAGGACTCATCTTCATTTAAAGAATACAGTAGCTGCAATTAGCTCCTGATGCTAGCTGTTAGCTTACTCTGGTCCTGGTTGAACTGCAGGCTGTTGACTCCTCTCTGCTGAGCCATAATGAATCTCTCCGGTTACCGTGAGTTTACCGGGGAACTACAGCTCCAGGACAACCTGTGAGAGAAGAAAACCGAGATATTTAAAGGGAAAACCGTAATTTCCCTATAAAAAAACATTGTTGTTAGCATGTTAGCATATGAGCTAGTTAGCATACACTAGCATCAGATAAAGGAGGATTTTAACGCGATTGATTATCCGTGTTCACATCAACATTCATATTAATATAAAGTCTTACCATCAACACGAAGACTGGAGAATACGAGGAGGGTTTTAAAAGGCAATAAAAGCGACAAAACTGTCAGACAAAAACAACAACAACAGAGATGTCGCAACACGGAGGTTTGTTTACGTTTTCAGGCTGTGACGTCAAAGACACGTGGTTCCAGTTTTGTTCCGCTTCTGGTAATTCAACTAATCAAAACAAAGAGATTTTCAAGAGAATCTTGCTTCTTTTACAAAAGTGGTTATCAAGCAACAATGGCAACAACTATGGGACAGTAACACCAAAGGAAGACATTTATATCAGATACAAAGGGAAGTAGGAACAGGAAGCACGTGGGGGAGTAGTAGAAGAGAACAGAGCATTAACAGCAGAATAAAATTGGGACACTCTGGACTAAACTCATCACTGCATCTGATTGGAAAACATCCAAATGGCAATTGTGATGGTTGCCAACAACCAGAGACAATACATCATGTATTTTTTAGCTGCCCGGATTATAACAGACAAAGATTCATTCTGAAAACTGCACTGGAAAAACTCAACATCAAGGACATGGATTTCAAGGCAATATATGAAAGTAAATCAAGAAATGAAGCAAACAAGCTGATCTTCAAATTCCTCAAAAGCACTGGTCTGAGGATAAGGATTTAATATGAACATGTAATAACTCAACAGTAGGTGGCGATATATGCTCCAAGTGGAAGCGATTCGCCATTAAAGAAAAGAAGAGGAAGAAGAAGATGACGTGACGTCATCAGCTCGCGCATCACAGAAGGTAAACAACACCGTGGCCCTGTCTCAGGTCGACTATTTTCATTTCCTCGCTCCTCGGTCCTCGGTCTTACCGGAAGTTGATTTGTCTGCGCCATCTTGAGTACTGTCCCATGGCTCTTATTTCTGCCGGAGGACCG